TGGAGGAGTGCGCAAGGACCGGGCCCCCAGAGGGGTCCGCCAGGGAGACTGCAACCGGCCGACTGAGCGGCGTGAGTGTGGTGCTGTCGCGAAAGAAGGAGCGGGAATCACCTGAGTCAAGTGTGAAGGTGTGCAAGGCCTCAGCAGGCGCAGTACCAGAGAGAGCAGACTCACCAGCACCTGGAGCAGCAGACTCACTAGCACCTAGAGCAGCAGCCTCTATACCTGGGTCCGGCGGCGTACACAGGTAACAGTCACCCTCAGCACTAACAGGCAATGCATACATGGCAGATAGAATAGCATCAAAGTCCAGAGCAAAGATATCCACTCTCTTCCTCAGCAGCTCCACCCAGCTGGGGAGCTCAGCCGCGTCACCAAACTCTGTACGCCAGGCGTCGCTCAGACCGGCGAAGCAGCGGGACTGTGTGTGACCTATTGTCCCGCAAGTCTGACCAGCCCGATCACCTGTGCGAATGACGTACGGGCAGCGAGCAGTACTCACGCAGCTGCAGGGGCGTAAGGGTCTCGCGCGGACGTCGCTGGAGCTGTATCTGGCCACCGCCAGAAACTCCCCACCAAGCAGCTCCGCCTAGACTGCCACTGCGGCCGCCGCCACCACTCCCACTGCTGCCACCACCGCCGCCACCACTCCCACTGCTACCACGAAGAGACGTCATAGTGGAAAGGCAGGGCGGCGAACAGGCACTAGGGTAGGTCGAGGCGGCGCACTCTCAGGGAAAGGCGGCGCGCGGCCAGAGCAGGGTAGTAGCAGGCAGTAGCTCCTACAGCAGCAGTTTTTTTTTTTTTTTTTTTTTTTTTTTTTTTTTTTTTTTTAATTTATTTATTTATTTATTTTAGGGTTTGGCAGGGCGCGCTGGGCGCTGCCGCTGCAGAGGCGGCTCGCGGGCTGCAGGGGTGGCTCACGGGCTGCAGGGGCAGTGCGCTGGCTGCAAGAGGCAGGCGCGCTGGCTGCAGGGGCGGTTCGCGGGCTGCAGGGGAGGCTCGCGGGCTGCAGACGGGCGGCGCGCGGGCTGCAAGGGTATGCGCGCGGGCGGCTTGCACGGGCCGGCGCGCATGCCCTAGGACGACGCGACGGGCAGGGCAGGTCGGCGCGGTGGCCCTAGGGTGACGCGACGGGCAGGGCAGGGGCGGCGCGTGGGCCCTAGGGCGACGCGACGGGCAGGGCAGGGGCGGCGCGCGGGCCCTAGGGCGACGCGACGGGCAGGGCAGGGGCTGCACGCGGGCCCTAGGGCGACGCGATGGGCAGGGCAGGGGCGGCGCGCGTGCCCTAGGGTGACGCGACGGGCAGGGCAGGGGCGACGCGCTTACCAGGAGCGGGTGCAGGGCAGGGCCGCGACGGGCGGTTAGATCAGGGCCGTAACGGGGCGGCTGTAGGGCAGGGCCGCGACGAGGCGGCGGCAGAGCAGGGCCGCGACGGGGCAGCAGCAGGGCAGGGCCGCGACAAGGCGGCTGCAGGGCAGGGCCGCGACGGGTGGCGGCAGGGCAGGGCCGCGACGGGCGGCGAGGTTAGGGCCGCAACGGGGGGCGGCAGGGCACGGCCGCGAAGGGCGGCTAGGTCAGGGCCGCGACGGGCCGTTAGGGCAGGGCCGCGACGGGCCGGTAGGGCAGGGCCGCTACGGGCGGCAGTAGGGCAGGGCGCGCGACGGCGCAGGTGAGGCAGGCGCGATGCGTGCTTCGGGCAGGGCAGGAAAAAAAAAACGATCGTGGTGGGCCCTTAAAAAAAAAAACGTTCCCACTAGGGAACCTGCTCTGAAACCATGTGAAAGATAGAACGAGAAATGAATGAACTAGCAAGCAGGTGGGTACAAGTAGGAAACCCTAAAAGTGTTGTACCCCATATGGTCTACCCCACTACAGCCTAAACAGACTATGTCATATAAGTTTGACAATAGGAAGGCGTGGGTACCAAAGGGGAGAGCGACGGCGGCGACCTCCTCAGAGGGGGACACCCCGAAACGGCATAATGCTCGTTGGATGGAGAGGGCGCGGATCTGAGTGGATGGCGCAATGGCGCCAAGTCCTTCGTCCCGGGGGGAGTTGAAAAGAATTCGGCGAGGAATAAGGCGAACTGCTAGACCGGATTCTTTGTATCGGGAGGAGGATAGGAAATTACCAAGAGCAGTATCAAGGCGTGTAATGGTATCGGGCGGAGGAGGCTGGAATCGGCCGGGGAAGGATAGGGTGGAGTTGAGAAAGACCGACGCAAGGGATTTGCGGCAGGTAGCGGTAGCTCGTAAGGACGCGAGGAATCGGGAGGAACGCTGGACTCTGGCGAGGGTTGTATTCCAGGTTGTGGCGCCGGGGTTGTCTTTCTCAATGAAAATTCCGAGAATGCGTTCAGCCTCGTTGGGAGCGAAAAATGGGGATAGGCAATGCATTAGAGAGTAGCGACGAGGAGATGTTGAAGGGGATGATGGAGCATTTGTTCCAGTTAGGGCATTCGCCAGAGACGGAGGCGAAAGTCAGGAGGTGAGTGATTGCGGAACCAAGCTCATCATTCGATGAGAGGAAGATGGTTACGTCGTCCGCATAGCAGGCCATGAGTCGACGGGATACAGGACACAGGGGAAAGCCTGGAAGGTATAGAGACATGTACCGATGGAAAATCTCTATGACGCAGACAAAAAGGAGGGGGGCAAGGGGGCATCCTTGACGAACACCAGTGTGGACATGAAAGAGCGGACCCGCTAGGTTATTGACGGCAATGCACGTGGAGGTACCAGAATGCATGAGGCGTACCCAGTGGATGAATGGCGAAGGCAGACCGAGGTGTTCAAGAGACTGCAAGAGAAAGGTTTGGTCAACAAGGTCGCAGGCTTTGCGGAAGACAACGGTAAGAGCGAGGAGAGGGGTGCGTGAATAGGAGGCCCAGTCCATAATGTCAAGAGTGTCGTTGATGGTATCGCCAATTTTTTGGCGTTTAATAAAGGCGGTCTGGGATGGATGAATAATGTGGGGAAGCACGCGCTGTAGTCGGTTGGCGAGGCAAAGGGCAAGCACCTTGTAGTCGGAGATCATACGCGTGATGGGTCGGAGGTTTCTACGAGCGTGGAGTCGCCTTTCTTGGGGATAAGGACAGTTCGTCTGGAGAGCATGGACGGAGGGAGCGCTGGAGGGGGCTGTGAGCTTAGCAAGGAGTGTAAAGCTGGGGCGAACCGATGTGTGAACGTACGAAAGAGCTCGCTAGGAAGGCCATCTGGGCCAGGAGTTTTGCCTCGCTATAATTGTCCAAGGGCCTTCCCAATTTCAGAAAGGGAGAACGGTGTCTGCAAGAGGCGGGTTAGGGCATCGGGCAGGGTGGAGCGAGGGATATGTCTCCAGAAAGATGGGTTAGAAGCAACAGGCGCAGACCTAGAGTATAGGTTTTGAAAGAAGCGGGTGCATTCCTTAGTCAGGGATGGGAGGTGGGAGGAGGTTTCGCCATTCGGCAGTGTGAGAGAGGAAATGAGAGAAGCTTTTATGCGAGTGTTGAGGCCAGCGAGTAGTGAAGAGAGACCCATTTCACAATGGCCTTCGACTTTAAGCTTGACTTTGAGGGCTAGTTCAGCGGTTTTGGAGGCTTCATATTGCATTAGTTGGAACCGAGCTTTGCTAAGGCGGGCGTTTTCTTCCACACTCAGGGCGGAGCAGGCAGCTTGGGTTTGGAGACGACTAATAAGATGGCGTAGGTGATCCATGGTTCCTGACACTCAACGCCGCTCCTGATTGGAGAAGCATTTGAGACGGAGGGAGAGCTGTTGTTTCCAGTGGTCCCAGTCGTCTGGAGACGGGTGGGGGGGAAGACATAGGAGATGGGTATCCAAAATGTGGGCGATGTGAGGGCGACGCAGCAAGGAAGTGCTGAGCCTCCACGGACGGGGGGCCATGATAGGGTTGTCGAAGCCGAGAGAGCACAGTGGGGCGAACAGATGATCCGAGATAAGGTTAGGGGTGAGGAGGTAGTGGGCTGCATCGAGGCGGGAGAGAAAGGTGGAAGATACGTAAATGCGGTCCAGTCGAGCAGCCGAGGGGGGGAGGCGGCGGGAGTATAGTGAGCCGTTGCCGACCAATGTATGAGAAGAGAGTGGTGGTGGGGTGGAGGGCGCGGAAGGAGTCCAGAAGGGAGTGGGATGACAGGAGGTTCGCGAATGAAGAGGCTTCGCTCTGTTCATGTCCGTGCAGAACGCGGTTACGGTCCCCGGGTAGAACGACCAAATTGAAGTCGCCAGCGAGGACTGTGCACGCAGCAGCGGAGGGAGCTTCGAGAGCCGGAGTGAGGATGCTACGCCACCAGACGCGACGAGTCGTGGCATGGGGAGGGGCGTAGATGGCAATTAATCGGATTTGTTCGTGCAGAAAGTTAATGTCGACAGAGAGGAGCCGACCATCTACAGATGGGGTGGAAGAGGAGAAGGAAACAGCTATGTTAAATGAGAGAACAGAGATTCCCCCTGGGGGGGGGGCGCGTCCTCGAGGCATTACCAGGAGGGTAGGTAGCGATCGCATGTGCAGTCGCGTGGGGCCGAAAGCGTAGGGATAATTTCGGAAGATTTAGAATGAGACGTGTGTCTACCAAGACGAGAACGTCCGGTTTGTTACCCTGAGCTGAAATCCAGTTCTTAAGCGCATTCATTTTATAAGGAGCATTGAGGCCATTGATATTTAAGCATATAATTTTGAGTTTTGCAATCATAGTATCGGTTTTAAAGCCCAACGCGCACCAGGGTGCACGCATCCACGGGCAATATTGCCAGATTGGGGTATTGTGATTAGTATGTTTGATAAAAGAGGCAAGAAGGTTTGCAACCACTGTGGCTTTTCTTCCATGGTTAGCATATCATTGTAGCTAGCGCGGGCTAGGTGGTTTAAGAGAGCACACATGTGATTGGATGTCCCTGTCAAATGAATTAGACAGTATTTGAAGTACATTGCAGGAACATCATTATAGCATGAGTGGAAAACAAGGTGGCGTGAAGCATTATCCCATAAGCGAACTGAGGTCACTGGGAGAGGAATGAGGCGATCTGGGGAGTAGTCAGGAAGGTAAGGGCCCGCCAGTTGCTGTACTTTTCCTTTGCAGCAGGGCCCTTGGCAGCTGCGCGCAGGTTGGAGGTGTGAGCCTCGGAGGCCATGTGCGCCATGGCAGAGTCAAGGGCAGGGCCGCAAGTGAAGTTGCAGAGGACGCAGGTCCAGGGCTCGACGTCGGTGTCGAGCCCGATAAAGAGGAAGCCGGGGTCCTTGCGAAAAGCATCGGGATCCGGACGTGCCCCAAGGATTTGTCCTGGGGGGAGGAGTGTAGGGGGCGATAGGAGAGGGGAGCAAGCAAGGTAACGAGGGGGCAGGGCAGGAGCATTCAGTGAGGTGAGGGGGGACATCGAAGGGAAAGGAGTGGATGCAGTCACGAGTGAGCCAGGCAGCGGGTGGAAGCGTTGAAGGCCAAGGGGCTGCCGTGGGGGAAGGGGGGGGGAAAGAGCAAAATGGGCAGGAGCCGGGGGGCGAATGCGCCCATGGTGAGAGAGAAACGCGAGTACAGGTGCCGGGAGGGAGCCTTGGGGCGGGACAGGGCAGTGCTGAGGAGGGGGTGGAAGGGGAAGCGTATCCGTAAAGGCGAGGGGTGAGGGCGTGGCGGCCACCTGGTTGCTGGAAGGGTGGTGAAGGGGAGGCATGGGAGGAGGGGACAGCGGGGGGCACAAGGAGGGAGCGTGCCAAGGCAGAGGGGCAGTCGCGCAGTACACAAGGGAAAGGCAGAGAGGGGTTGGGGCAGGAGGTGCTGAACGAGGGGCCGGGCCCAAGGGGGGGACCCACATAGAGAGGGGGGTGAAAAAGAGGGGAGAAGGTGGGAGAGGAAAAGGTGGGGAATTTCAGAAAAGGTGGGGCGAGGAGGGTGTGAGAGCGAGAGAGATCATGAGGGGCAAAGGGGGCAGACCACAGGCGACCAGAGGGAGGATGTATCCCGAGCTGAGAAGGAGCGGGGGGGGGGGGGGGGGAGTGCAGGGGGGGAGATCGCTGGAAAACAGGTACAAGGGAGAGGGGAAGGTGGGGCAGAAGCCATCCACACTGGCGTGGCGTGGAGCCAGAAAGAGGGAGATGAAGCTGAATTGGAGGGCAGGGGGGGTCGGGTAGGGGGGCGGGCCAGGGGGCCGGGGGCACAAGGTCTGGTTGGTACAGAAACGAAGAAAAAAGGCAAGCAAGAGTGAGGGAGGGGATAAACCAGAGAGTAGGGGGGGGAGTGAGGGGGGGATTGGTGCGGGAGCAAATTATGAGCAGAACCAGGCGAAACTGAGCGTGTTGAAAGCAACGTAAGGCAGAGGGACCAGAAGGGGGGTCCTGTTGCAAAATGAGAGATGAAGGGGCTTGTGAAATATGGACGGCAGAAAGCAAGTAGCATCAATGGGGGGTAACGAGCAAGGGGGCAAGGGGGGGAGATCGTACCGTTAGTTTGCTGCAGCTGGGCAACAGATAGCTGGGCCTTGTTGTTCAGGCGCTGCTTGCGCTTGAAGGCGAAGGTCTCGTGGTCAGAGTCGCGGTGATTGTTCCCACAGAAAACGCACATGTGGGTGGAGATGTTGAGCAGGGCGAGAGGGGAGTCATCCTCAAACGGGATGACAGCAGGGATGCGGGAGAAGGCCGGGTCATCCGGGGGGGGAAGCAGGATGCCGGTGAAGACGGGGAGGAAAACCTCCTCGTACGGGTCGGTGGTACGGTGACAGAATTGCAGATCCGCGAGCCAAGCCGGCTCGGAGGGGTTGTGGAACGGAGCGGCCATGAGGGAAAGGAGGAAAAAAACGGAGGAAGAGTAGGCAGTGGGATGAGAAATGCCACCGAGGCTGGAGGATTCAAATCCGTAGGTCGAGGGTGAGGTGGCTCGTCGGACCTGGGGGCAGCCGGGGCGGGAAGATGGGTGAGAGCAGGAGGTAGTGGAAAGGAGGAGGTGGCGATTCGAATATGGCCTAAAAAGTCTGAAACGTGGAAGGCCGTAGTGAGAGGGCACGGAGGTGACGTTTCTAGAAGCAAGTATGGCGTTCCAGGGTAGCATAGGTGAATGCGCGCCATTCGTAATGGCGAGGGGGCAAAGGCGGCGGCCATAGCTTCCCCAAAAAACAGACCAGGTGCCTAGGCGGCAACACAAGTCTGTGATAAGAATGTTCTGGAGCAGGAGGCTGAGGAAGCAGCAAAGAGAGTAGGGGGCAGAAGAGCAGGGGAACCTCAAGGGCGTGGATTGGGAAGGACCAGCCGAAGTAAGGAGGGAGGTGGGGGAAGTGTCGCGCGAGAACAAGGGAGCAGGGACGGAGGGCAAATGAAGGGTAGAATGGGGGAAAACCAGTCAGTGAAAGTCAAGCGTTGAAGACCGGTTGGGCGACAGTTGGCTGCAAATCCAACCAACTGGCGGGGCAGGGGCAGAGTGAAACTCCAAAACCGAGCTTAAGGAGCTGGCGGAGTCAAGCTCTGGGTGACCTGGAAACAGAAAAAAGAAATGGTGACGTGGGGCAGCGCATTGAAACAGGAGTGCAGCGGATGCGGGGAGAAACGTCGAGAAAGTTTTATGGATGGGCAAGCAGCCGGATGAAGAAGAGCACGAATCGGAGAGGAGAAACCAGTGCGGATGAGCTGACGTGGAATGGTCACTATCGTGCTGAAATCGAAGGGTCTGGAGGGGAGCAAACTAGTCGACTGAAAAGGGTGTGGCGAGAGGGGAGAACGGATGGGCGCAGGGCGCAGCAACCAGATCTGCGTTGTATGTGGCCTGAAATCAACAGAGAAGGGGAAAACAGCAAGCGACACCAACCAAACCCAGACGAAAAAAGGGAAAAAAGCAGGAGGCAAACTTACCTTGGGCCAGTGCAGTGTCGAACGCGGAGAGCCAGCTGAAAAGAGCTGTGGCTTGACAGATGCAGGTCCGCAGAGTAAGGAAAGTTACCTCTGCCGTGAGTTCCCAGCTGGGATGGCGAGGTTGGGGAGGGATGGCCTCCGTCAGATCTAGATCTGGTTGCATCTGCACACAAATTGTGGTGGTGGACGGTCACGGGCAAGATCGTTTGAAACACAAACGGAGTCAAATGAGCAAAAGAGCTTCTCATGCCTTGAAGCTTATTGCACCCATATTTTTACACTACATATATTATCCTTGCAATTTTATACTATCAGTCATTTTGTTGGCCATGTCTAAAAGTGTATGGTAGATGAAGCGTTAGCAAGGGGAAGCATGAGAGGATAGAAGATGAGGTGTAGTTGGGGGGGGATGAGGAGGAGAGGGGGAAGGAAGATGAGGAGAGGGGGGGGGAAGAGGAGGAAAGTGGGGAAGAAGAGGAGGACAGAGGGAATGAAGGGGAGAGAGAAAAGGAAGAGGAGAAGCATGTGGGGGAAGAGGGGGAGAGGGCGAGGAACTTGTAGAAACGCGGGAGGATGAGGGGGAGGACAAGGACCATGTGAGAAAGAAACAATGAGGGGTGAAAAACGAGGTTGGGAGTGGGGAAATTTTGGTAGATCAAACGTCAATAGTCTAGCACCGAAAGGCTAAGGTTTCTAAACATTCCACCTTCTTCCACCCCCTTACTGCCTGAACATTGATGGTTCTATGAAATTTGGGGACGAGATAATAAGGGATTGTCCCAAGCACGATATTGACACAAAACGAAGAAGAGGAGATGGGGGGGGGGGGGGGGGGGGGGGGGGGGGGGGGGAGGGGAGAGAGAGGGGGGGGAGAGGGGGGGGGAGAGGGGGGGAGAGGCGGGGAAGAAGAATATATCGTTGACGTTAAAGAAAGAGAGGGAAGAGGGGCAGAAGGAAGGGAAGGGAAAACAGGCTTAGAGGGGCTAACGTTAAGGAATGGCACCATGGAGTGTGTAATACAGAGGTGTGATATTTTTGTGCTTCATTTTCATCGTTAGTATTTCAGTGTTTCCTCTTTTCGTGTTGCTACTATGTCCCACAATCCCGCTCAAGTTACTCCACTCACTGTTCTTCCAACTCCTGTTATGACCGCAACAGCCATAGCAGATATAGCAACCACATCCTCCACAACAGCAATAGCAGATAAAGCAGCCACAACAGCCATAGCAGACAGAGCAGCCCACGCACCCACCCGCCCCGGCGGCCGGCGGCCGCGCCCCTGCCCGCCCATGAAAGAGGGGAGGAGGTGGAGGACAGAGGGGATGAAGGGATGAGAGAAAAGGTAGAGGAGAAGCGGGTGGAGGAAGAGGGGGAGAGGGGGAGGAAGATGTAGAAACGCGGGAGGATGAGGGGAAGGACAAGGACCATGTGAGAAAGGAAGAGGGGCAAAAAATCAGGTTGGGAGAAGGGAAATGGTGGTAGATCAAACATCATTAGTATGGCGCCAAAATGTTAATGTTTCTAAACCTTGCACCTTCTTCCACCACCTCCACTTGATGGTTCTATGAAATTTGGGGTCGGTTTAGTAAGAGATTGTACCTAGCACAATATTGACACGAAGCGAAGAAGAGGGGGGGGAGGGGGGGGGAAGGGAAGGGGGAAGGGGGGGAGGAGACATGCCATTGACGTTAAGAAGAGAGGGGGAAGAGGGGCGGAAGGAAGGGGAAAGAGGGGCTTAGAGGGGCTAACGTTAAGGAATGACACCACGAAGTGTGGGATCTCATGCTTATTGTTTCAATGTTTCCTCTATTTGTGTTGCTACTGCTCAAGTTACTCCATTCACGGTTATTTCAACTCTTGCTACGACCACAACAACCATAGCAGACACAGCAGCCCCGGCACCCACTGCGGCCACAACAGCCATAGCAGACACAGCGACTACAACAGCCATAGCAGACAGCCACAACAGCCATAGCAGACACAACAACCCACGCGCCCGCCCGCCCCTGCGGCTCGCGGCCGCGGCCGCGCCCACGGCCCGCACCCATGCCCGCCTTGGCGGCCCGCGACCCGTGTTGGAGTGGTTCGTGGATCCACACTAATGACGACGGAAAATGAGCTTCACTAATGAATTAGACTAATGAATTTGAGAGGAAACTAAGATCTAGCTTGAATGGAATACGTCATTAGAAGAAGGAGAGAAACACGGAACAATCAGGAAGGAAGCAATCGAAATGAAGAAGATGGAAGATTTCTCGAGAAAGAGATTGACGAGGGGGGAGTATGGTCGGACTATGACGTGGTCCACAAGGTATTGTTTTCGGACTTGGGGAGAGTCTTAGGAAGAAAAGAACGTTTTATGTGAAACTTGGGGTGAAATGAGGCGTGCATGGTAACGTGTTGAGCACGTTTGGTTACCAAATATGTGATTACTTTTGAACGGGTATAAAGTTGTATTAGCCATTTGGAAAGGAATCCCTCAAGTTCACAAAAGACATTTGATTTCGGAGTTTGATTAATGTTGGATACGCTTTTTTGCTGGATACACATTTTTGCTCTCGCAAAAGACTCTTTCTAAAAGTATATGTGATTCTACGAACCGAATGACTAGCCTAGTGGCTGTTTGCCTTAGTGGTTGGAGTAGTAATGCCACCTTAAATTGAATCACTTGCTTTGTTGCTTCTTGTTGACTGATCATGTGGTCGCTTGCCTCATAGGATAGACTAGTGCCCCCCTGAGTTTGTTTGTTGTTTTCTTGGACTACATCTTACTTGTCCTACGGGGTGTGTCAACTTATATTATTGCATATATTATAAGCTAGGTTGGTTTACTCTTTGAAGGGTACAACTTTCGTATAGTTGAACCCTGTATGCTCGGGAAACGAGGCGAGAGGTACGAGGTACGAGGCGGTGTGGTACATGGCGGTACGATGCGCCCCCTTACCTGGCCTCGTGTTTGTCGCATTTATGTGGCTTCACACAGTGCAGAGTTCAACCCCTTACGCTTGTGCTGGACCAAAAAGAACATAAAGAAAAACATGGGTGCAAAACATATTTCGTTTCTTGAGAATAACAAAACACGGGATAATGATTTATGAAGCATCTGATATAAAAAATGGCACATGCACCAAACAATTTGCTTGTGTAAAAGCTCCAAGTAATTTTTTCACAGATAATGTCTTACATTCATATCCTTTATATTGCGTTTACAAAGTGGCGTCTACTGATCAATCTTGTTGTAGGTGACACCACATGTCTTTTCACTCTGCCACAAAAAAAATCAAGGAGACAAAACGAGTGAGCAGGGAAGAGATGGGTGAGTGGCTGGAACCGTGGGTTGGAAAAAGGAGGGGGAGGAAAGAGAGAAAGGGGAGAGGAAGGAGGGGGATATTATTTCATTTCAACTTCTCATTCCCTCTTTTCTCTCACATTAGGCAATTACGGTCGCACAACCGCATGGCCGCTCCCTTCATCCATAATGTTCTGTTGCCGGCCATCCAACGACATGATATTGCACGGCAATACGGCGAATTTCTTGTTGCCTGGCTCAGCCCACACAGCATCTCCCACTATATACGGTGGAGGAGAGCGCAACATCGGGACACTTACAAATTGTGAGGGCGTTATGGGCATGAGCGGGATGATTAGAACAGAGGGTTTCCACCAACCGAGTCCACACTACACTAAGTGCGGTGAGAGTTCTCGAATCCATATCGAAATAGGTCCTAAATCCGCAGATTCAACTTAGGCGAGCAGTGGGGACGAGCACACCGGTCTAGCTCGTGAGAAATCGCTATCGTTCGTGACATCTGGGAGGCATCGGCTCAAGAGTGTTTGGCCAGACTTCCTGCTGAGAAAGCCGAGGCCCGACCGTTCGGAGTCTGGCCGGAACGCCGGGCCCGAGCTGCCCGTGGGGACAAACCTCTCAGCTCAGCATATCAAAGCGTTTTTCCTTGGTTTGACTGCATTTCAGAGGGATTGTTTGACACCACCCTTCCCACCACCCTTCCAAAAGAGCATCGACCGATGTTACCACCTTGCAAGTACTTGATATGGCGGAAAGTCCACCCTGCTCTGCAGGTATAATTTTATGAGAAACACTGCCATCCCGAGTTGGAAAAATAATCACATGGCCTGAAATCAAATCCCTTCATTATTTGTGACTAGGTTTGGGCCTCTCTGGTCTTTGCCCTCTCTGAGTGTTTGGCCGGAGACCAAAAGCCACTGAAATCACGCAAAATTGGCAAAGTATGAATCTCAGGAAACGAGCGAGAGATAGGCAGCAACGTATAAATTGGAGAAATCTGCTAAGTGTCTCTTTTTGACATTATCTAGCATCAAGCAATTACAGAGTGGTTGTCTACTGACGACATAATTATCTTCCCAATCTTTCGTCTCCCATGTGCATGTTCTTCGACTCTTCGATGGCCTTTGCGTAGTTTCACGGAAACAAAAACAAAATACTGGTACGCAGGGTTCGCCAAAATTCCACACTTCCACTTGCAACGTGGTACAAAGAAACAGTATGGATTTTTATTGCTGTTACGTGGCTGACACACGGCAGTGGTAGGGCAAGATCAGGCTGGAATTCGGATCGAATCCTGCAGGGTCCCCGAAAACTTGGAGAGCCATGCCCGCGGCGCAGCATATGACAGTATGTTGGTGTTGGTTTGGGTGGGCCCCAGCTGTTCGAGCCCAGACCAGCTGACAGAGCTTACCATGGGCCTGGTTACCCGACAATTCCTGCACCCACAAGGAATCGCCTCGGGGCCGAGCGTGAATCCCATGTGTAAATTTGTGGCTTCCGAGGATTCGCGTCTGCAAAATGTTATTGTGTGTAGGAAAATCGTTACGAAAGGAAAGAAAATCATGCCAATGTAGGAACTAAGAGTGGTGCTCCTCTTCAAATCTCCAAGCAGCGCACACCCCGCCAGCGCGAGCCCCGCCTGCTAGCAGCACAACCCGCCAACCAGCCACACACGCTCGCAGCACGCACCACCTGCCCTTGCCCCGCCAGCCAGCCTGTGCGAACTGCTAGCGCACGCCCCGCAAGCCAGCTCACGCCCCGCTAGAAGCTCGCACCGCTCGTCTACTAGCCGCCACCTCCTCCGCCAGTGCTTGCCTCCACTAGCGGCACACTAAGCAGCAGCTGGAAGCCACCCTATCTTTTCCTTGTCGCCGTTTAGGGTTTCCGGTTAGTTCCTAACTAGTAGTTTCTAGCCACCGTTTCTAGCCTGACACTCCTAGCCTGCCGTTCCTATACCAGCATTCCTAGCCACCGTTCCTAGCCTGTCATTCCTAGCCTACCCGTTCCTAGCTTGGAGTTCCTAGCCGTGCCCAGCCATTCCTAGCCGTTCCTATCCGCTCCTTGTCGTCCCTAGCCATTTTTGTCCTACCGTTCCTAGAATGTTTCCTTCACCATGGCATCCTCTAGAATATTGTGTTTTTACGCAGAAAGGCCATGTTAAGGTTTCACATGTGGCTCAATGCTCAGCTGCACCTTAGGACCCAGCGTCAGGACGGCGACACTCTGTTTGCCCACATGTCTGGTAATCTGCCCGTCCCTCAGTGTCTCGCCCCTCTCTCTACAAAGCCCACTTAGACAGAGCAGGAGATGTTTGCTAGGCGGCGCTTAGAGTACTCGATCTAGGAATGTTTTGACACCGCTGCTCGTCTCGCTCTGACATACCTTCTTCCGCTGACTGAGGCCACCCACTTTACCCAGGTCACGCTTGCGAATGAGTGTTATGATGCTATCGTTACTCGCTATTCCGCTCCATCCTCTGCCTCCCTCGATCGCCTCTTCTTGCCGTTATTTTTCCCCGACCTTGGCGCGTTCGACACTACTGCTGACCTTGTCACTCACCTATGCTCACTTGACACTAGCTACCATGCTGCCTGCTCTGACACCCTACTTGCTAGCGCTCCCCCGCCTATATTTGCCACCCTTTATTTCGTAGTCACTCGTCTCCCAGACCACATGTCGTCTGCATGTGACATGCTTCTTCGGAAGCACCCCAGTGAGCTTTCTATCAAACTCTTTGAGACGCTCTCAATGAGATTGAGATTAACTTCCGCTCCGTTGCCTCTGCTACTGCCGCAGTAGTTCCCCATCACTTTGAGGGGTGTGGTGTGCCCCAGCTTCCCACCTTCACCTACTTCTCTTGCTGCTGCTGAGTTGTCTGCTACTCAGGAGACTGAAGTTGTTTCTGCCGCTGGTTGGCAGAAACGGGGCAAGGGAGGTAAGAAGGGAGGGAAGGGTGGTGGCGGTGGAGGTAGTCGCGGTGGTGGAGGTACTAGTGCGTCCGAAGGAGGTGGCTCTGGAGGTGGGGCCAGCGCTACAGGTACGACATCTGGGGGTGTGGCGAGGACACAACAGCCATAGTCGCAGTAATAGATGTAGCAGCAGGGGCAGCAACAGGCCCAACAGTAGGGATCTCAGCAGCAGTGAGGACATGGTGGCCCTGAGAGCGTCAGTCGCAGCAGCGGCCCTACCAGGTGGGGACCTCATCGCGAAGTTTGCGACGCCGGGCCCTGTTAGTACGTGAATTAGACCGGCCTTACGGCCGCCCAACCACTTGTCTTTTTGCTGATTCTGTTGTCTCGTTGACCTCTTCTGCGACCGTCACGGACCTCGTTCGGTGCCTCCACACTGGCCTGCCCTGCGGAGTCGTGGTTACAGGGTGTTTGAGATGACCATGGATGATGTCATTGTTGCCATGTATGTTGTTGACTATAGTGCCGACGAATCTGTTTGCTCGCATGTACCTAGACTAGGACCTTTGCCTGTTGCAAGTGTAGGTGCTTGTGTTTCTAGTCTAGGTGCGTCTGTAGTTGTTAGCCAAGTTGTGACTACTGCTGGCGTGTCTCTTTCCTTCACGCTTGACTCTGACGTGTTCCTGTGCTTCTTCCGCGACCACACTTTTGGACCAGCCGTCGCTTGCAGTTCTAC